CAAGGCCATTGAGCCAATGATGTCTGAAGACATTTCTGTGGCCATGTGGCCAACATGATATTACAGAGCACTGTTACCCTCAAAGTGGTACCTATTTATCTAGACACATTTGTATGCTTTCGAACTGCGAGTTTGGCAGGAGTTGGAGCAAGGATAGGAGCTCACCCTGTCATGTGGTGCTGGGGTCTCAAACTGGCGCTGCTGGCTTTCTAGCTGACAAGCCAGCATCTTAACTGCTGAGCCACCGCACCACCCATATTTAAAAAAAGAATATTAACCCTCCCCCAAATAACAGTTATATAGAATTAAATTAAAAGTGTAAGGGAGAAACCAGATGATTTGTCAAGTCATGGCTATTGTTAAACATTCAGCAATCTAGTTGTTAATAACTATAATTTGGTGTGGCTAACAATACTGAAAAGAAAATTTAAAAATACACAAAAATTAAAATACATAGCAGCTAAGGAAAATTAGTCTTTAACGCCACTAGAAGAGGCTCTTTCATATCTCAAGGGACTTAGGCTTGAAGACTGCTACTATTTCTGCTATAATTCTTCAAGACCTGCTTCAGCCTCAGGCCATACAATTCTCCTGCACTCCCTTTCTTTTCCACCAAAACAGCTAAAATCTCTGGAATAGTTTTGTCAATATCCATAATGTATTGCTTAACTTTAGACATAAATGTGGCAAAAGAAATACACAAATGTGGAATCACAAGGAAGAATTGTGTTTCATTGCATTTCTATTCTGGGAAGTTCTCAGCATTCTGCTTCTTTAATTAATTGAATTTATACATAGGGCAAGCTGGAATTTTATAAAAGAAAGCACCAGTTAATAGAGGACAATAAAGAATTCCAATTGCTTGGAATGGGTTGATGGCTCTGGGCATCCCTCCTTATTTCTTATTGAAGAGATATGATTTGCATTTGCATACTGTAGGAAGCGCCCCTCCCCAGATTAAAATATTCTTTATTCTTTAATCTTAATATTCTTTAATCTTAATATTAAGATTAAGAGAGGCAGTATAGAATATTTCCCAAAGGAGAAATGGAGAAACATGTTCTTAAAGACAGAAAGTCTTTCTTAATAGCCTCAAGCAGAAGCCACAAGTCTTTAGAGATGGATATTTTGTACCTATTAAGAAAGACTTGGCCAATCTATTCATAAACCAAATGCACAAAAGGTTGGAGCTGATGGGATTAAAATTTACATTCCCCCACCCAAATTCTAAGGACAGGACATGACCTTTAGGACATAATAAGATTAACCCACCACCATTAGAGTAGCAAAAGGCACAAGGCTCACTACATTGCACAACCCCCTGGAGTATCTCAAACACAAAACCCCAGAAAGCTATAAAGATCCATCCATTCACTCAGCCATTTGATAAGCCATCCCAGAAACATGCTTTTGTCACTGAAGTTTCTGACTCTATCCAAATAAATAGAGTCCGTCTTTCCATGTGGCCTGCATTTTATTTCCAGTATCATTCTCCCAGATTGGAACCAGACTGGATTTTTTCTCCCCACAATACAGACACACACACACAAACAGAGAGAGAGAGAGAGAGAGTTGGGGGGGGTGTCATTTGCTGTTTTCCTGTTGTTTATAGTTGAGTAACTAAAGTTTATTACATCCTGGGGAAGCACAGGAACATTTAGAATACCAGTCCCCAAGCTTTCTGGCTCCATGAACTGGCAGCAGCTGCAGCAGTGCAGTGGGAAGAGGGGATGATTTTACATGCGCAACATAGCTCCTGCGCATGTGCAAATGAAGCTTTGCACTCTCACCTGCCGCTCGTGCATCCTGGTACCGGTCCGCGACCCGGGGACTGAGAAACTTTGATTTAGAATATCTCACTATAAAATTTCCTGAGATTCAGGTTGCATTATTTATACATTAAAAGAATCCTGTTTAAGTGTTTGAGAACAGCTGCTGCATTGTCCTGTATATATGTGCTTTGCCTAAATATAGATATATGCTTATGTTAAATCTTTATTCTAATTGAGTCCCACATTACCACTATGCATTTATCTTCCCACTGTTTTTTAAATTTCCATTTACACAGCACTTTTACTTATATAAACATCTTAAAACACCCCCACACACTTTGAAGTTACATTCTTGGTGTGCAGGCATGCTATTTTTTTCAAAAATTGTTCTCTATTCCAAATATCTTCATGATCTGAGTGAAAATAGGGGAAACAAATTGTTGGTTTGTTTTGATCGAAGTTTGGAAAGAATCCTATTTCAGGAGACAATTTGTAGAATGTAGGCTTTGCCACCTTGTTAATTATGAACAATTTGGCTTAGACACCACTGCAGTTAGTGTGACCTCATTGAGATGGCATCTGGATGATTATTTGGAGATAATGAGCCCCTTTATCCAGAACTGAACAGCACCAGTTCAGTCGGAGCAGAGGAGATCACATCCAATCTACCACTCATCAGGGTGCCTGCTATCTCGTTTGTATAACAACTTACTTCAAAATTAACCTTTCACATTCTGAATTAATTAAAAATATGGGAGATGAAAATTAATGATTTGCTTTTTAGCTTCATGCTGACTGGGAAAGAGAAGGGCAACAGAGGAGGCTGTTATAAAACACAATTGGAATAATCATTTTTGTATTAATTATTCTGTGTTTGAGGGCATAGAAAGCTGAGTATAAGGGAAAACAACACAATCTTTTCTTCCATTTGAAACTCTATTTTCTTTCCACTGATTAAGGATCTTAATTATCTGATTCTACTGCTAAATTATAGAAAATAAATCAAGGTAGTCTATCAGCCATTCATTTATGAAATTAGAGCCAGCTGCCAATGTGATTTTTAAAATATAGGTTAAGAATTCTTTCTTTCCTTAACTTGTTCTATTAGGATAGTTGTGCTGATGTTTTGTTGAGGTATTATACAAAATTCTGAGTTGCATATGCCTTGCAATTGAGGGAGGGTCTACTTCTTTTCTATAAATGAATCTGTATGGAGTTTATATAAATCTTATTCCACGGTTTCTTTCCTAATCACAGAAAGAATGTACATGTATGGTTCCATAAACATATCCTCATCATGCTGCTCTATTTTGGTGTAAGCAGAATTATGCAGAACAAAAATAAATAAGAAAGAATAAGCAAAATAAATAAATGATGGGAGGAGGAGGAGGAGGGAGGAGGAAAAGAAGTAGAAGAAAAGAAGAAGAAGAAGAAGAAGAAGAAGAAGAAGAAGAAGAAGAAGAAGAAGAAGAAGAAGAAAGAGGAGAGAGGAGGAGGAGGAGGAGGAGGAGGAGGAGGAGGAGGAGGAGGAGGAGGAGAAGAAGAAGTAGAAGTAGTAGTAGTCATTCAATAGCTAAACTGAATGCTATGAAGGGTTTTATAGATCATAATCAGCACCTTAATGTGCACCTGAGAGCAGTTGTGTTACATAACTCATGTAACAAGCTCAGGATCCAAAAAGATCTTGACAGGCTTCAACAATGGGGCCTATCCAACAACATGAAAGTTAATGTGGACAATAGAAGGGTTTTACATCTAGGCAGGAAAAATCAAAGGTACAAGTACAGATTAGGCAAATTCTGGCTCAAAAACAGTAATTGTAAGAGGAACCTTGGGGTCCTAGTGACCCCAAGGTTCACTTAAACATGAGCCAGCAGCAGCAGCCAAAAAAGCAGCCAAAAAAGCGAATACAATCCTTGGTTGTATAAACAGAGGCATAGAATCAGTATCCTTTTTTAAAATCCTTAGTAAAATCACATCTGGAAAACTGTATCCAGTTTTGGTCACCACATTATAAAAAAGATGTTGCGATTTTGGAAAAAGTGCAAAGAAGAGCAACTAAAATGATTAAAGGCCTGGAGACAAAAATATATGAAGAACGATTGCAGGAATTGGGTATGGCCAGTCTAGAGAAAAGAAGGACTAGGGGTGACATGATAGTATTCCAGTATTTGAGGGACTGCCACAAAGAAGAGGGGTTTTTTTTCCCCAACATTTCTCAAAGCACCAGAAGGCAAGACAAGAAATAATGGATGGAAACTAATCATGGAGAGAAGCAACCTGAAATTAAGGAGAAACTTCCTAACAGTGAGGACAATTAACCAATGGAACAGCTTGTCTTCAGAAGTTGTGAGTGCTTCATCACTGGAGGTTTTTAAGAAAAGACTGTATAGCAACCTGTCTGAAAAGTTATACGGTCTCCTACTTTAGCAGGGGGTTGGAGTAGAAAACCTCCAAGGTCCCTTCCAGCTCTATTCTGATCTATTCTGATTGAATACCATGGCAATCACATTATTGCTGATGGTCCTGCATTCTGGACTAGCTACAGTTTTCAAATTGCCATGAACTTCTATCATAAAGATGTGATGTTACATGGGTTATGTTGATAATAACTTCTGATCCTATGGATGCCTTTAAATGTTTTCTTAACTGCATTTAAATTTTCTGTTGGATAAAACTATGGCCCTATTCAGTCCATGTCTTTATAAACTGTTACTGTTTGCCATTCTGAAGAAGCAATAAGGCTCACTTGTAGAGAATAGACTTGGATCTCAGCAGATCTTGCTGCTAAGGTTCCATTCAGCTTGCATGCAGAGCTCCCACTCAATGTCTAGCATTTAAAACGTAAGTGAATTGCTGCCAGTAGCAATTTTGCTATGGTTAAAATTATTTGATTTCACTGGTTATTTAAAATTACAATTTTTAGGATTTTATTTTTATAATTCGTCACAAATTATCAAGTGTGTCAAAGTTTAATTTTGTGCTCATTAGAATTTTAGGGACTTTTATAGACAATTAACTGAAAACTAAGAAGAACATTTAGAAAAAACTTCCTTCCTTCCTTCCTTCCTTCCTTCCTTCCTTCTTTCCTTCCTTCCTTCCTTCCTTCCTTCCTTCCTTCCTTCCTTCCTTCTATACAAAGTCAGCTTATTGCCCCCACAAACTGGGTCCTCATTTAGAAAAACTTCCTTCCTTCCTTCCTTCCTTCCTTCCTTCCTTCCTTCCTTCCTTCCTTCCTTCCTTCCTTCCTTCCTTCCTTCCTTCCTTCTCTTAGTGGTGAATGTTCATCCGTAAAGATTTAGCAAATAAGAGAGATAAATAATAGGCAATTGATCTAGCTAAGAAAAGAAATATACTGGTGTTTGATGACTTTGTCATGTCTTAAATATTAGCATTTTCACAACTGAGTAATATATTGAGGATGGTGGTTACATCAATTTTCTGAAGAAACAACTTTTTTTGGAGTTAACAAAATGGTGTTGAGCTGTGGAAAGATGGCCTCCGATCTCACTCATCAAGGGTGACACCAAGAAGAATTTTTTCACTCTGCAATCCATTCCGTATGTCAATAATATTTAACTCTGAAAACTTTGGTCTCTTTTCAGAATCTTAAGATATCATCTAATTCTCTTTCTTCTTTATTCAGCCATCACTTTATATTTACTGGATTTTAAAAATCTTTGAAGTATGTTGGTTTCACACTCCTTTGTCTCTCTTTTCCCCCCTTGGAGCCTGCTAATCAAACATGAGTCGTTAATTTTCATCACTTGCAGCTTGGAGCCATTTCATTACCACATCGCAAAGGTGAGAAAATGAAAAAGAAACTATGAATATTCATTGGGCAAATGCATAAGAAAGTTTGGAAGGGTATGAGAAATAAAAGAAAGAACTTTTCTCAATTTCTCTGAAAGCACAGTTCTCCAGGGTTTGAGAATGTTTCAGGGTTTTAACCTTCATGAATCTCATTTATACAATTTGCTGTGTTTTTTGTCATTCGTACCACGCAGATAAATTACCTTTGAAAAGATGTTCAAATTAAAAATAAACAGTATCATATCTGTCTACTGACACTCTGAATCCAAAGTATAGTCTTGATTATGAATACAGGTAGTCCTCAACTTACACTCACAATTGAGCCCAAAATGTCACTCCATTTTACAACCTTATTTGCCAGAGTTGTTAAATTGGATTACTGGAGTTGTTAAATTAATAACACGGTTGCTAAGTGAATCTGGCTTCCCCACTGACTTTGCTTGTCAGAAGGTTGCAAAAGGTGATCACATGATTCTGGGACATTGCAACTGTTATAGATATGAATCAGTTGCCAAGTGTTTAAATTTTGATCACATGACCAACGGGCTGCTGCAACAGTCATAAGTGTGAAACTGTCAACAGTCCCAATATGCTAGCCAGTAAAAGAAACTCCAAGGGACTCGGTGGCTAAGATGCTGAGCTTGTCAATTGAAAGGTCAACAGTTCAGGAGTTTGAATCCTTAGTGCCATGTAACGGGGTGAGCTCCTGTTACTTGTCCCAACTTCTGCCAACCTGGCAGTTCGAAAGCACATAAAAAATGCAAGTAGAAAAATAGGGACCACCTTTGGTGGGAAGGTACAGGGTTCTGTGCACCTTTGGCGTTTAGTCATGCTGGCCACATGACCATGGAGATGTTTTCGGACAGCGCTGGCTCTTCAGCTTTGAAACGGAGATGAGCACCGCCCCCTAGAGTCAGGAATGACTAGCACATATGTGCAAGGGAACCTTTACCTTTATCTAAAAGAAACTTCTGAGACATTATTCTTCTCCAAGTGTATACTTTACTGAAAAGCCATGTAGGTACAGAAGTGGAAAAGCCAGTTCTAACATTTTGTGTGCAAAAAGCATAAGACAAATTCCCCCTTTCTCCCCTGGACCTTCCATTGTTCTTTGTCCATCCATTAGTTGCACTGGGACTGTTTTTAGAACAATCTGTCTGTCTCCGACAATGACGTTCTCAGAGTTGATGATCTTGGAGTGGAATTGACTCAGGCTTCCAGATGGCACACTTGCATTCCAGAGTTTCCCTCTCAAACCACCCTCACATACCAATGCCTTCCCTCCCCCCTTCTGTTATTGTTGTCTGGTTGCGACCAGATTGCATAGCAAGTCAAGCGTGACAGAAACATAGTCACAATTCACTTTTTTCAGTGCCTCTGTAACTTCGGATGATCACTAAATGAACTGTTGTAACTCGAGAACTACCTGTACTACAGCAAGAATTGTTTTTTTTTCTAACAAAGAAAATAGGTAAAAATAACAGTTAATGCAATTCCTATTTTGCTTCTCTTTTTTCAAAAAATACTAGTGTTGCAATACTTTTTATTCCTTTAATGATCTCTCACTCGATTGCTGTCATGCCATCATCCTTAATATTGCTATCACCTATCACCTTCTCTATTTCTGATTTCTGCAAGTACTGTAGTTGGTGCCCTTTCCAATACCTGCTGAACTATTCCTTGTTTTAATTTCCTATTTTGTAATCTATACTAGTCTGGAAGGAACAGGAACTCATTCAACTCCTTGTATCTAAAATCACTGCTTAACAAAGAAAAGACCACTGCTCTTCCCTAATAACCTTCATTTGCACTGCTGTTCTTCGATCCCTTAGCCTTAGTTTGGAATCAGGTAGCAGCAAAATAAATAGGGAATGAAGCTTATTTCTAGTATCCATGGTCATGCTCTTCCTTGGACTATTACCCGCTTTTTGCCCCCAAACTGTCTCCCTAGCCGTTCCTGGAAACCACTGAATCTCTTTGTCACCAAAATTGAAATTGGCCTGTGGCTCAGCAATAATGGTACCTCAGTGTAAGTATTGATGGGTTTTTATGTCTGCCAGGCACAATTTCCATCTCTGAACATTTGTGACTGTGGGAGCTGTCAGTGGTGAGATGCCATCTCTCATCCCTTAGTGTCAATTATCAAACAGGGCTAGAATGAAAGACAAAGAAAAGCTGCCATTTTCATCCTTCCCATTGTTGACTGACAGATCCTTGGGCTGATCACAATGTGTATTTGGGCTGAAAGAACTGTAAGTTATCAATGTGAAATCCAAGTTCTATTGTAAATATAAGAGAACATTTTGTGGGGAAGCCATGAGTTACAGTTACTGAAGAAATAAAAAAGCTTTATTTCTTGACTCAGTTTTAAAATAACCTTAACACCTCAGCTATAGCACCAGTTAAATTGTAATGACTGCACACACTCTTTTCCTTATTTTCTTCCATTCTTATTTCAGCCAATCTTTCCATAAAATTCCTCAGACAAAATGAAATTCTTCTATCAGCTTTTGGATACTGACTGGCCTTTGTGAAGAAAGGGAATTCACAAATAGAGATCAAACAAGATGTAACATGTGTGCCCATTTTCTCTTCTACTTTGGTATGTACCAATGAGGGTAAAAAATAGCGAGAGTCTGAAAGTCATATGTGTGATTGTTAAACAGTGGAGTATGAATATATTGCTAAATAAAATAAGAGACTGTAACTGAAAGATGAAGCAGTATAATGTTAAAACCTTCACATTGCTTTTTGAGTGGTATGGTGAAAAGCGATTTCTTAGCTCATCTAGGAGCTTTTAACAAATTGTAATAGCAGCCTTAAAGGTTATTGCAGATGTGCAAGGAAAATATAATATTTCAAGCTATTTAACGTTATCACTTCTTTGTGAGTGTCTGAAAAATTGCTGCCATTTTAATAGTTAGGATTAAGAAGAAAAGGAAATTATTAATCATGAGCAAATGTTGTAGAATAGAATATAATTCTTTATTGGCCAAGTGTGATTGGACACACAAGGAATTTGTCTTGGTGCATACGCTCTCAGTGTACATAAAAGAAAAGATACATTCATCAAGAATCATAAGGTACAACACTTAATGACAGTCATAAGGAAACAGTCAATATAAATCTTAAGGATACCAGCAACAAGGTTACAGTCATATAGTCATAAATGGGAGGAGATGGGTGATAGGAACAATGAGAAGATTAATAGTAATGCAGACTTAGTAACTAGTTTGATAATGTTGAGGGAATTATTTGTTTAGCAGAGTGATTGTGTTCGGGGAAAAACTGTTCTTATGTCTAGTTATTCTGGCGTGCAGTGCTCTATAGCGTCGTTTTGAGGGTAGGAGTTGAAACAGTTTATGTCCAGGATGTGAGGGGTCTGTAAATATTTTCACAGCCCTCTTTTTGACTTGTGCAGTATACAGGTCCACAATGGAAGGCAGGTTGGTAGCAAATGTTTTTTCTGCAGTTCTAATTATCCTCTGAAGTCTGTGTCTGTCTTGTTAGGTTGCAGAACCAAACCAGGCAGTTATAAGGGTGCCGATGACAGACTCAATAATGTAGAACAATGGGTCATCTGAACTTTCAGTAGGTTTTTAAATTTTGCAAATTCTGCTAGTCCAGAATATAATATGTTTTAATTTTTCCATTGTTAAAAAGAAATATGATCAGCATAAAGTTAAAATGATAATTTAAATTTTACAATGATAATGATTTCACAAGATACCAGCTTCTGTGAAGTGTTGTAAAATTGTCCACATGAATCAAGGTTTTCCCATTTGTATACAAGTGGTCCTCACTTAATGATGATAATACTAGGTTCTATCATATCTCAAGAACTAAAATGGACGCCTAACATCAAAAAAGCACAACAAAGAATATTCTTGTTGCAACCCAACAAGACAGACACAGACTTGAGACTTCTGTTGGCACTGCCGGCGTCGCGGACGGTCTTTTCAGACCTCCAGCCCCGCGATTCCGTTGGAGCCATTCTGACAGTGCTAATCAGCTGTCAGACGGCTCGAAAACCTCTCCTTCGGGAGAAGAAGGAGAGGAGAGCCGGTGGGTGAGGGTAGAGCTCCCCGGGAGCCCCGGGAGCAATTCCAGGGGCTTGGAGGGTGAGAGCTCCCCGTTCAGCCCACTGAAGCTCCGGATCTGTGGCGACTCCGTTTTAAACGGAGCTAGATGCCGGAGACCAACTCTTCTGTCAACAAGAATTGATTCCAAAAGCAGGCAGAATGGAAGCAGGAGAACAAGCCTTTGCAAGTATGCTGCTTAACTCCTGGGATACATTGTTTCTATTTGATTTTGCTGAGCGGAAGGAGAAATGGCGTCATCAATATGGCTGGACTGAAAGTGAAAGCTAAGTGCTTGTTAACAGATTTGTGCTTAGAGACTGGACTTAAGCTGCTGGGATTTGAGAGCTGGGTGTAGAAAAGACTATCTTGCTTGATAAACTACAAATAAATTTGAGAAAGTTGCTTAAGAGATGTTTTGGCTTTGAAAAGAAAAATTTTCTTAAAATAATATGGCTTCCAAGCAAGGAGTTTCTGAAAGTGGTGGAAGCTCATTAATGGCGTCAGAAATGACACAGAGAACTAATTCACAGAGCCAAGAGGATTTTTTCAGAGATCTTACAGAACTTATAAAGGAAGCCACGAATAACCAAATGGCAATTATTAATAACTTTACAGCAACCATAGAACGAAAATTTATAGAGCTGGTGGAGCCTTTAAAAGCAAATGAGGATGTTTTTGAAGGAAAGCACAATGACAATGAAGGAGACATTTTGATTAAAACAGAGAAGCTGGATTTGGCTGATTCTCAAGGATCTTCAAACCCTTTTCCTGCCCTTGTGGAATTAACTGACAGTACTTTTCAAAAACATAATCTGGAGCAGAGAGAAGAAGAAACTGATCAGCCCTACGAGGTTTCGGAAGATTTGGCAGAGGCTTTCACACAATTAATTGAAATGCAACAACTGGACTTTTTTTTGCAAACTCATCGAGTTAATTCTTCGTTCTATGGACTGACTGATTATATAAGCAAGAAGAGTCTATATGGGGGCTCCAAATCAGAGGAAATGATTCCAAGAAAGGGGCAAGTTTTAAAGATACAACCCCCAGTTGAAAATCAAAACCTCCTTAAAATAAAAGCAAGAGGGAGGAACAAACATTGGAAAAAATATAGAAAGAAAGGAAGAAGGGAAGATTAATTTTCTTTGGTTTAATAATTGATGTATTAATGACTAATTACAATGATTAAGTAAATGAATTAAGAATTCAATTAATGATTATTTAAGGTTTAAGGAAAAATATTTGAATCTTGAGAATAAAAGTAGGAGGGAGAGTAAAATGATTAAGAAAATGAACCAAGAATTCCTTACAGATGTATTATGAGAACTTTAAGCTTTGAATGATCTATTAGTGTTTGTTAATGTTTTTAAAACTCTTAGGCCTAAAGGATTAGATGTTACTTTGAGTTTAAAGGGAGGTTGATGAATAATTTGTAGAAGGGGAGTTAAGGGGTCTAGGGAATTATAGTCTTGCATTATTAGCATATTTTAGCATATGTTTGATAAAACTTATACCCTGTTTTTCTTCTGGGAAGTCGGGGGAGGGGGGTGGGAAGGGGGGGTGGAAGGGGGGGTTTATAAATGTTTAAATATACAAGTGAAAATGTTATCTATTTGATTATAAAAAATAATAAAAACCTTTTATTCAAAAAAAAAAAAAAAGACAGACACAGACTTCAGAGGATAATTAGAACTGCAGAAAAAACAGTTACTACTAACCTGCCTTCCATTGAGGATCTGTATACTGTACAGGTCAAAAAAGAGGGCTGTGAAAATATTTACAGACCCCTCGCATCCTGGACATAAATTGTTTCAACTCCTACCCTCAAAACGACACTATAGAGTACTGCACACCAAAACAACTAGACACAAGACCAGTTTTTTCCCGAATGCCATCACTCTGCTAAACAAATGATTCCCTCAACACTGTCAAACTATTCACTAAGTCTGCATTACTATTACTATTAATCTTCTCATTGTTCCTATCACCCATCTCCTCCGACTTATGACAGCATGAGTGTAACTTTGTTGCTTGTATTCTTATGATTTATATTGATTGTTTCCTAATATGATTTGATGGCTTATTTGTACCCTATGACTATCATTAAGTGTTGTATCTTATGATTCTTGATGAATGTATCTTGTCTTTTTATGTCCACTGGGAGCATATGCACCAAAGACAAATTCCCTGTGTGTCCAATCACTTGACCAATAAAGAATTCTACTACTCTACTACTCTAAATTTGCACCAACAGCCATTGCTAAGTGACGCAGTCGTAGAGTGTGGCATCATGAGTCAGCGGTGAGTTACAATGGTTTTGCAGCAGTCCCAGTTGCTGTTCTTAAGCAAATCCTGCAAAGTAGCATCATCCTGTGGTCCAATGATTGTCATTTGTGACCTTTTGATGGCTTTTCAATTGACTTCGCCTGTGAAGGTCGCAAATGCTGATCACATGAATGTGAGGCAGTGCAACATCGCAACTGAGAGTTGATTGCCGAGTTCCTAAAAAACAATCACGTGATGTGGGGATGCTACGATAATGGCAACGATGAAAAACCCTTCATTTGGTACTGTTATAATTTTGAATAGTTACTAAGTGAATGGCCATTTAATACTGACAACCTGTATGAGATTATTTAAGACAGGAAAATCTTGGTATCTGAACTGTATTAGATCATGAGTTTGCAAAAACGCTTCATATGAAAAAACTACTTCTTTCTACATAAGAAAAAAAATCCAGATTAAACGTCAGCATGAGTAAGGAAGGTGAAAACTTCTGTGCTGAGATTTTTAAGCAAGAAAGGGGGCTTTCAGCATAGTAATTGTTATAACATTAAACATGTAGTTTGGACATGCAAAATGGCTCACATATTTTTCAACCTCCTGAATCAGTCTCTCTAACTGGATAAACAAATAAAGAAAAGATTAAAACAATGCAATTATTTTTTGAAAAGCAAATGACTAAACAAATTTTTAAAAATATGCCGAACTGTTCGGTTGACTAGCCTATGAAAAGCGCTACTTTCTCAATATTTTCTTTAAAAAAATTCTCTCAATGTCTTAAATTTTTCTCTTCTGCTTTTACTGTTCCAAGCCAACATGATGTTGGGAAGAAACATTGTAAGAGGGTCTGTGGTTCTATCTGCTAGTAGCATAATTCTCTGAAAACAGATAGAATGGGACTAAATTTGTTCTGGAAGAAATTGTACAAGAAAGAATGAATTTGACAAAAGACCAGAGGCTGCAGAGAAAACACTGTAGGAAAAATAATCTCCAATGTATCCCTCTAGGATAGGCTGAGGCTGGCGAATGCTGTTAGCACTTCAATTTTGAACCCGCCAACCTCCTGGTCACATGATCCAGAATGGAGCTGCTATTCAGATATTAAAAGGAGTATGTTTAGTATGTTTTCCCTACCTTGAATTCTTTCCAATCACATGGAATGTTGAAAGAAATTACGTAAAGGTTGTTGGCTCTCTTTGTCTCCATCGATAGGCAACTTGTTAACTCTCAGAAAAATTACAGAATGGGACCAAAAAAGACTGAGTTAAAAATGGGCCAGATCTGAGTGGAACTTTGGACAAAAGAATTCCAATAAAAGAAAAAGGCAGAGCATCACCGATTAGTAGTTTCAAAAATAACCAACTGTTCCATTCTAAATTCCCTTACTCTCTCCTCAGACTGAAGTTGTGATTAAGGAATCTGAAGAAGTTCCAGAAGCTGTGCTCTGCATGCTTCCCTGATCTTATTATTATGTGTGTATTTTCATACTTACTTTTAGTCTTCTAAACTTTTGTTTCAGTTTAACTTTTTCTTTTCTTTTTTTGTGGATTTGCATAAATATTCACTTTCTATTTACAGTTTATATTTGTATTGTCTTAAGTCATGTTCTAGAACAGGGCTATCAAACTTGCGGCCCACAGGCCAAATGCGTCATATGCTGGCCACGCCCATGCCTGGTTTAGCGAAGGGGGTAAAAGTTGCAATACGTCACGTGATGCTGGTGTGATGATGCAAGTTTGACACCTCTGTCCTAGAATGTAAACATTGTTAGATGTCTTTTGAAGAAGAATATTTTTTTTTATGAAAAGGAGTAACTTAAATCTGAATCCTGTTTCTTACAAATACTCGAATATACTTGTCTATTACCTTGATTTGATTTGAAAATGCACATTTTCCCCATAAGACTAATTTTTTAGAATATGGGTATGTCAAATATATATTAATGATAATTCAAGAACAACAAATCTTTTATGCTGCTTCAAATGTCTGACTTTAGGTGGGTTACATCAAATATGCAATATATATCATTACTATAATTCAAAGAATATTAAAATTATCAAATAACATCAATAATTACATGTATGGTCAGTATAAATTTAACATATAGCATAACTGTAATTCAGGCACATCTCCAATTTTTGCTTCTGTCTCCAAACATACTATAAAAGATCATGTTTTTAAAACTTTCCTGAGGCCCAGGAGTGAGAGTGCAGTTTTTATAGTTGTAGAAAGGCTTTACACTCACCTCTGTGCAAGCCATGGACTATCTCATGAAGTTCTCTCCATATGCTTTGGGTAGGCCAATTCTATTTAGTGCAAGCAGTCTGCAAAACAGAGGCCAAATTATCTGTATATCTCCAACACCTTTACCTGTATTCAGAGACAAGCTGGCAACCATGCAGCTCCCAGATTATTATCTCATTAGTGATATGAGCAGCATATAAATTTAATAAATAAAATTCCTGTCACTTCTAATCCTGCCATTCTTATAATACATTTGCTAGAGAAGTTAAACAAACTTGGTAACAGAATGCATCCTCCTCTCGCTCTCTTCTGCACTGGACTAATCAATTCTTACAATAGCTTTTGGTTCATTGTAAAGACTTCTTGGAAGAATAATCATATCCTCTGGCACATGAATTTGCTTTAGTACACTCCACATTCTGCAGTAATCTATATAGTCACAGCCCTTGCTTTAGTCAATAAAGCAAAACTGGTTCTTATATTCTCTTGCTGTCTCCATTATCCATTTTATATTGACTAACTGATCTCTTGTCCCAGTCTTTTCCTAACCCTATCCATTCATTTGGCATTTATAATCTTCATACATTCATAAATAAAGTGTTGCTTATTTGAGAAATGAAGGCAACAGTTCAATATTTTATATATTTTCTTGCTTTTGGGGTGTGTGTGTGCTTGGGAGAACACTGATCATTTCCAATCCAAAGGCCATACAGTCTTGTTATGTTTGCTGAGTTGGAGCTCTTAGCATTAATTGCCTTGTCTTCTGTGTCTTTAAGAATTCAGCTGAGTGTTTTTTGTGGACCTGGTGTTTTTTCAGTTTAATAGTTGGTATACTGCCTCAACTACCTCTCTTTCTGACAAAGAGAATTCCTAGACAGATCTGTAAATTTCTTTACAGATATTTCTGTGTTCCCATTATATAGTTTTAGAAAAAACAAAAATATCTTTTTTGTGATGTAGCTGTTGACACTGTCAATTTTCAATTTACCAGAGATCCAGAAAAACACATTCATGAAACTGGATTTAGAACTGGAACATGATGACTTAACTGTCTTGAAACTGTGCAGGCTGGCTACAAATTGCTACAAAATATACTCTTCTGAAGAAAGGTTTGGTACATGTCTTTGGGGGGTGCGATGGCTCAGTGGCTAAAAATGCTGAGCTTCTCAGCTGGAAAGCTGACAGTCCGTGTTTGAGACTCAAGAGGCACATGATGGGGTGAGCTCCTGTTACTTGGTCCAGCTCCTGCCCCCCTAGCAAGTCAAAAGCAAATACAAGTAGATACCTAGGTACCATTTCAGTGGAAAGTTAACAGTGTTCTGTGCGCCTTAATTTATAGTCAGGCTGATCACATGACTACGGAAATGTCTTGGTTCCCTCAGCTAACAAACGGGAACGAGCACTGGCCCTAGAGTTGGACACAAATATAAAAGAGAAACCTTTACCTTTATATTTCTTGGACACTTTCCTTTTTACATTTCTGCACAATTCTGAAGCAGAGTTGGGCTGTATCTCTTTGACACTTTTGTAAAACATTTTTTTAAAATGCAAGTTTTATTTTCCATTAAATTATATAGCATTTTCTGCAAGTAAGGCCAATATTTCCATTTACATGCTAATGAAATACTTCAGAAGGTGCTATGCCAAATCATCAATACTGTAAAGGGGAAGGTAATGACTATGTCTGGAAGGCTAACAATAGAGGTGTGAGTGTAAGGGGAAAAAGTGGTGGGCAAAATATGTTCCAAAAGATATTTGCATTTAAATAGATGAAATGGAAAGGAATGATGTATATTTTGCTAAAAGCTGTTTGAGGTGTGGAAGAGGCAGCACAACTGATATTGGTTAAGAAAATATTGTCCTGTGTCTTGATAATACTCTCTCATCATTTCAAGGAGTCTGTTTTACTCCACCCTTGACATTGCTTGATTAAAAAAAACCCACAACAACACCTCTCCCCCACTCACCTGAAAAAAAAAACAAAAGATTGCGATGAAGCTACATATATGACACATATTTGATTATTGACTCTGTTATGGCTTATGTCTCACTAATTAGAGACTGATTACATAGACCCATAAAAAACTAATATATTTATTTCTGTTATAGTTTATCAGTCTTTTGAGATAAACTGACTATTGAGATTAATGCGGACATTAAATATCATTAAAGTTTGATATTAATTTTCTTTTAAAAGATGTATCTGTTTTTACCTGTGCTTCTCTCTTATCCTCTTTGCTTTGGAAAGCAATATATAAAATACCATTTTTTTCAGAATTGTCATATACCAACAACAATAGTGAAGGTTTCACAACACATTACAATAGGGATAAATTATTTCAAGTTCCAGGAACTATAATAAATAGTCCTTTGGCAAGGAAGCATATACACAACATCTTTCATGAATGAAGGCAAATATATGTGTCCCAGGATAATATTGCAGGATCCAATCTGGGTTAGACACTGGGACCAGAGGTTTAATCTTCCAAGCTTTTGGACTTGTGCTGGAGCCCATCCTCATGGAACTTCTCTCTACTGGAATGAACACTTTCTACTAGAGAGAAGTTCTCTGAAGATGGGCTCTGGCACAAGTCCAAAAGCTCTGAAGATTAAACTCTGGTCCTGTGACCAACCCAGATTATTTATTTATTTTTTATTTTTATTTATATGCCGCCCTTCTCCGGAGACTCAGGGCGGCTTACAATGTGTTAAGCAATAGCCTTCATACTTTTATATATTTTACACAAAGACAGCTTATTGCGCCCACAAACCGGGTCCTCATTTTACCCACCTTAGAAAGGATGGAAGGCTGAGTCGACCTTGAGCCTGGTGAGAATTGAACTCGCAGTAATTGCAGGCAGCTGGATGTCAAATGCTGCCTTAGTAGGAGGCATTAGCCTCCTACGCCACTCAGGCTCCGATTAGATCCTGCAACATTATCCTGGGATTTGTATATTTTTTCTTTTACATTTTTTTAAAATGCAAGTTTTATTTTCCATTAAATTTCTTTAGCTCAGAAGATTAAACCTGTTAAATTTCTTTAGCTTGGAAGATTAAATCCCGGTGACCCCCCCCCCCCAATATTGGATCCTGCAACAACACCTTTCATTTTTTCTTTTGCCCAAAGTCCAATCTATAAAACTGAAATTGGATAAGAAGTACTTCATTTTTGAGAGCTATTCAGGCTTCTGAAAAGTGTATGATAATTCATGTCAGACAATAAAAAATAATATGCATAGATACTTTCAGAAGCTGTAACCAGTTTGTTCTTATATAATAAAAGCTGTCTTTTTTATTATATGAAATAAATATTTGTGATGGGTATAAATAGAATAAAAGAATGGATTCTTTTAAGAGCCTTTTTTTGTTTGCTTAATGTTCCAGTTTTATAAATGAAATATATTATTTGTGCTTTCAACACATTTAACCAAAAGGCTGTTGTCTTTTTCTGGAAAACCAGAATGATATTTTGATCCAGAAGCATGCTAAAAATATATATCTGATCTTTTTAGGTACTCCTGCAAACCTAGTAGTTCAAAAGCATGCATGTGCAAGTAGATAAATAGCTACTACTTCAGTGGAAGTTAATAATGTTCCATGAACCTTGGCATATAGTCATGCTGGGCACATGACCACAGAAGTGACTTCAAAAATCACTGGCTCCCTCAGCTAAGAAACAGAAATGGGCACCACTCTCTAGAGCTAGCCACCACTGGACAGGAGAAACCTTTACCTTTCTTAGGTAGAGTGACTTCATTCAGATCTACCATCCTTTGGAATTGTGACCACTTACCAGAATACTGTTGTCTACATTCAGTTCTAATTATTCAGTTCTACTTTATCATCCATCATCCAATCCAATCCAAAAACTGAATTCTGTATCTCAGTTGATATAGAGAAATAGATTTTTGTGTCTTCAACTATGCAATCTCAAATCTCTTGATAAACTTCAAGTAGTTTCATGTAGCTATTAAAGCCATTGGAAACAGAACACAGATTGTGGTGGTAGTAATCATCATCATCATCATCGTCATTGTCATTGTCGTCAACATTATCATTCATTTTGAGGAATGAATATACCCAAATAATCTTGTTTACCTGAGAGATAAAAATGGAATAATCACAAAATATTGTCATTGCCAGAGCACTCAAGAAATCCAGAACAGTAAAGTAAAGTAATTGTATTAAAAATTACTGACATTTCAAGGCTAACAGAAC